ATAAGGCTTGGCCTGCTGAGAAACGTCACAATTTAAGTTTATTTCTTTATTCTGAGAGACAGACAGCATGAGCAGGGGAGGGACAGAGAGAGAGAGAATCCTGAACAGGCTCCATACTGACATCGTGTAGGCTGATGCAGGGGAACTCAAGAACCCGTGCGATCATGACCAGAGCCGAGATCAAGAGCCAGACACTTAACTGACTGAGCCACCCAGGCACCCCTGAACAGGTAGGTTGCCTGAGCTCGGGAACTCACAGAGCTGCTAGGAAGCCACGGTCCCAGGACAGAAAGAGTCCAAAAGCCTACCTAGACACCTAGATCCATCAGGTTAAGTGGCTGAGCAGGGAAAAATGAAGCTGTGGAATCAGCCATAGTGAAATCCTAGCCCTGCCATGTACTATGAGACTTGGCACACAGCCTCCCTAGCATCAGTTTCCCATCCGTAATCAGTGGTAGTTATACCAACTTAGCTGCGCTGCTGTGGGCTTCCATGCGATAATATGTAGCAACAGCCCAGCTCCCTGCCTGGTGCACAGTGGGGTTTGAACAGTGCAGGTGTCATTCATTGTGCAGTGGTCACGGGGAGCCCTGGATGGTTTTGAGCTGAGAGACAGTGCTCTGGGGCATCTTGCCATCAAGAGAGCAGTTCCCTAACCACTTTTCAGTAGAGGCGGACCAGAGATCCTTGCTGTGTGTGGATTCCTGTAACCAGGTCCTACACGTTAGTCCCCAAAGGCAATTTCCTCGCCTTCTCCTGCATAAATATTATATGCAAGTATTTTTAAGTCATTTCATCATGAAAAGAAGCGATTTAACATAACTATTACCCAGGATTCTTCATGAAATATGCATCAAGCAATTAGGTCTAAAAGCGAGAGGTGAGGCCTTGTACCCTGCTTGGGCCGGCAGCTGCGGGCTGAGTGATGTTTTATTAAAGCCCATGATTATGAGACGAGGTAGGGCCTGTTATTAGGCCCGGCACGCCAGGCACGTTTGATAATCCTGGTGATGAGGAGGTGCTTTTTGTGATGATAATGAGCAATCTAAACGCAGTGACAACCCCAGCACCCCCAGCCTCCACCAGCCTTACATGACTCATTAGACAGGTCACCCACCGGAGACACCCTTAATTGTGACTTTGCTCTGGCAAGATGTCCTATCAAAGGAGACAGGGCTGACACAGGAGCCTGGCGGGCGACAGCAGTCTGTCCAAGCTTCCTGGGGACCAAGGCCCTCCCAAAAGTGATGATGGCGAGGCGGCGTGGCCTGGGACCTGGCCCACCTGGTTCTGGCTGCAGCCAAAGCCCACTTTGCCATGTGCCTTTGCCCAGAGTGTTGGTCTCTCCCACCTCAGTTCTCCAGGGCACCCCCAAGAGCAGCTCTGTCCAGAGCACCTGCAGCCCTCCCTGGGCATGCTGCTTATCTGAGGCACCCTCTTTTCTCGCTACATAGTCTTTTTTTTTTTTTTTTTTTTCCTCTTCTTAGGCTAGATATCTTCTGTATTGAGTTGGGAGTTATTAAAGCCATCCCTTCACAGCTATTTTTCAATCTTCAGCTGTTGGAAGGTAGCATCTCACTCATGGGGACCTTGTGACCACTCTGGATGTATTATTACAACACATCTCTTGGGTGTGTGTTGACAAGGTTTTACCTGACCTGTTTGTGAGTCAGAGTTTGGCAGATTATTTCAAAAAGCAAGCTCACCTCTCAGGGCCTGCTGACATGATAGGTCTCCATAGCTGGGGCCTTTGCCAGTCAGGACAGACCATCCCCAGTGCCTGAGATGAACTTTCCGTGCCAGCCCTGTGCTGTCTCTGGCCCACCGTCAGCCCTGTGGGGTAAGCACCTGGGGACTGAGGCCAGAGTCAAAGAATCACTTGCACACAGGGTCTAACATCTCTCCCCTGCCACCTTGCCTGGCCTCGTGGAGTGTTGAGGGCTAAGTCAGATTCTCTCCTGGAGCTGGCTGTCCTGAGATCAGGAGCATGGACCCTGGGAAAGGCCCACCAGGGAGGGAAGCAACACCACTGCCGATTGCTCTGTGACCCTGGGTCGGCCACCTGACTGAACCTCAGGGCTTGGCACACAGCCTGGATCACAGGAAGTACCTGGGAAACATTGGCCATGAAGACCATTATGGCCAGTGCCCCATGAGAATAAAGACTGGGGCTGTGGGTAGCAGTGGAATGGGGCATGAGTCTGCCTCCAGGCCTCTTCCTGCAGGAAGCCTTCACCAGTGGGCAACAGCATATGCTTATACACATAGAATCCAGGACCTTAGGCCCGGAAGCACCCTGAGGGGTCATCCACTTACCCTCCCCATAGATCCACTGGAGCCGAGGACAGAACCCAGCACAGCCAGAGGTCCGCCTCAGGTCCAGAGGACCACGTGCAGTGCTTGAGCCCGGGGGGAGGGCCACTCCCATAGGGGATTCCTGCTGTGGGAGCCAGCTCAAGGGCCTGTATCCCTCTGCCAGGGGATGGTCACACTGTGGACGGGGGGGGGGGGGGGGGGGGGGGGGGGGGGGGGGAGGGGGGGGGGGGGGGGGAGGGGGAGGGCCATAGGGCCTGAGTTCTCTGCCATAGTCTGGATTTTGTGACGCTCAGCCTAGCTCACAGTTATAACCCGCGTGTACTGAAATATGTGTGCCAGAGGCACTTCGGGGAGGTGCTAACAGCTGCCTGCCTCACCTGTGTCTGTTGAGGGGGAGGCATCAATGTGGAGTTTCTAATAAGCCGGTGTTGAGGGGAAGGCATCATTGTGGAGTTTCTAATAACCTGGTGGCTGTTCCGAGCCTGTGGCCTGGGAACAGAGGGGCCTTCTCTCCCTCTGGCCCTGTCAGCTGTTTTCACCATCCTGCCCACTTCCCTTGCTGGTTGTTTTAAGAACAGCCACTGTAAAAACGTCCCATTAAATCATATGAGTTACTTCTCTTCACCTCCTTAAATTAAATCAGCTCCTCCTGCAACTTCTTCCTGTGTTGCCAGCGCGGCTTTGACATTCTGGCCTGGCTCACAGCTATAGCTGCTGTGATCCAGTCTTCCACATCATACACTCTGCGCCCCAGGCGTGCATCCGTGACAGTCATTCAAGCCTGGGTGGTCTGGCACCCAAATCATCACCCCACCCCACTCACAAAGAGGGGCACAACTGTCCGAGGCTACGTGCCCTCTGCACCATCACTCACCTGCAGCTCCAGCCAGTGCTCTGCTGCCCCCTGCCCCCACACCCGCCTTGTCCAGGCAGAGCTTTTTAACTAGTCCCAGTTTCCTTAGCCATACAAGCTCAGCACTTCCTTCAAGCAGTTAGTACCCTATCCAGGCCGGCACAGATTCATGCTATCTCCAGTGTGGTGGGTAGCCAGTCTTCGCTTAAATGGGCTTGTACATTTTCTCACTCACTGCACACACTGTTCCCTTTCTAACAGCTTAAGCGAGTGCGCCTCCTGCTTCTCAGATGTGTCGAGGCAATTCTCCGATGAAATGACCCTTCACTGAGGAGCAGAACTTGCCACAGGCTCTGTAATTAGAACATTGTCAGCCTTAAAAAATCTTGATTTAAATTTTAGTTCTTTACAGGAATTATTCTCTCTAGAAACATAATTGCTCTCTGAACGATTTCCTTTAAGCTGAGGGTGACATCTCTAAATACATTATTATGAGCAGATATATTGCTCGGTGCCCGCACTTCATTAAGCATTTGCTCTGCCATTTGAAAATGGTCCTGGAGTCCAAATTGATGCATTAATAGAGTGGGTGTCAGTGAGCATGGGGAGCCCAGCCCTGACTGGGAGAGATGTGTTAAGTCCTCCAGTGCCCCTGTGGGAGCAGCTGGAGCGAGAGGAACTCAAGCTCACAGGCTGCAAGTTTGTGTTCACATGGAGCTTAGTCTCACCAGGGGCTGGGTCTTGGTCTCCTGGAAGCAAGGCCCCTAGGCTTGGTCACAAATTAACCAGTGCCAAGAGAAAGGCTCTAGAGAAGGCAGCAGGAGGTCAGAGTCCCAGCTTTCTCACTAAGTGGCAAACATGAGGGAAATTGGGCAGATTGACAGAGGAGTGAGTGATCTGATGTGGCCAGAGCCCTGGGTGGAAGGTGGGAGGGGTCTGCTAGGGCCAGGTGGAAGCAGCATGGCCATCACCATCTGAGAGCTGTGCCCCAGCCAGTGCATGCAGTGTAGCTTCTACTACACAGGCTTCTACTGTGACCTCTGAGGGCCCCACCCACTACCCTTTTCAGCAGAGGCCACGCATGGTGTACCTGGGGACTGGGCCCTGCTCTGTGGAGCTCCCTGGGGAATTGGGAAAGTAGAGAAGTAATTGCAATTCAAGGAAGCAAGTGTTGATGGAGATGTGAGTATCTCGGTACAGTCAGAGGACGGAAGGAGCTGTGCTTGTGGGAGCCTGGAAGACTTCCTGGCAGAAGAAACACTCAGGTTGGGCCTTAGAAGAGGAGGCAGAGTTCACTGAACAGAGGGAAGATGCACAGAGAAAAGAGTGCCTGCATGGGGGCAGAGCTGGGGAAGAGCACACATTTCTCCCCACGTTCCATTGGCTAAAACGAGTCACATGTTTACAGAGGTGGCAAGGGAGGCTGGGAAATGTAGTCCCTGGCTGGGCAGCCCCTTCCAGTGACAGTAAAGTAGTATGGAAGGGAGAGCATCAGGTTTTGGGAAAGAGCTCACTGTCATCCCTGCTACACTCTTTTTCCTCATCTGTAAACTGGGGGTGATAAGACCTGTCCTGCACACTTGTCACAACTTGTCTGTGTCAGCAATAGGAGGAGGAGCCAAGTCTGGGGGCTTGTTTTCCTGAGGAAGCCTCCAGAAGCTCTCAAGATCCAAAAGACTCTCCAGCAGTGTTTGCTGCTGGTTCCTGGTCTGTGCTGGGCTTGGGGGAGCCCTGGGGTGCAGCTGCATTTCAGTCAGGCCTGAGCAGCATGGCTGTTTCAGCCATTGTCACTCTGCATATCCTAATAGTAACCTCCATGTTTTGTTCACAGGAGCAATCAGGGCTTTATGCACATGAAACTGGCCAAAACCAAAGAGAAGTACGTTCTGGGTCAGAACAGCCCCCCATTCGACAGTGTCCCGGAAGTCATCCACTACTATACCACCAGAAAGCTGCCCATCAAAGGGGCTGAGCACCTGTCCCTCCTCTACCCGGTGGCTGTGCGGACCCTCTGAGCGGACAAGCGCCACCCTGCCCTGTGACAGGGCTCAGACTTGGAGGAGCCGGAGGGCCCCCCACCACCGCCCACCAGCCCGGCCGCTGTTGCAGGCCGGATCCAGTTTGTGTCGTGTGTATGGTACTAGCACACCACTGCATGTCTCTAGAATGCTGTCCACTTAACGGGGGCTGGAGAAAGCTTGGATAAAGACAGAAGGACAGCCATCACGCCACCCCAGCCCCCACTCCCACCCCATCCTTGAGTTTCTGTGAATTAAAATATTTGCAAATCCAAAGAGATGCCTTCCAGGATGAACAAAGGAGAGCAGCTCCGGAGGGGCGAGGGGCGGGGCGGGAGCTCCCTGGGTTGCAGTTCTTTGTTCTCCAGCTGTCATGAATTCACACCTGTGGGGGTGGAGTGGGGACACTGCAGCTTTCCACCAGGGCCCCCCGCTGGTGCGGGGAGACAGACGGGGATGCCCTGAGAGCCCAGAAGGCCCCAGGAGTCCGGCTTCCCCTCTGGTGTGCGTGTATGTGTGAGTGTGAGCACATACATGAGCGAACACAGTCACACACAGATGTGAATAAGCCCACTAACCCACTGTTAGTCACTCAGTGTAACCATTAGGAGATCTTCAAGGAATCATTGTGCAGTCACAAAGAGGATTCAATTATTTATGAATAGGGTGTGTAAATAAAATAGTCATTTAATATATATTCTTATCCCTTTTTTTATATATATACATATGTATACCACAGAGGGTCTCTGAGGAGGGCAGGGTTTACCTGCTGGTTTCATTCCCAGAGCAAGGTGTGTCCCTGGGCATGTGTGGTATGACAGGCCCCGGGGAGGGAAGGAAGCAGAGAGGGGTTTTCTTTGCCCCCTGAGGGCCAACCTCAGGACCGTGCAGCAAGGCCCTGCATTCAGGCTCCCGCAACAGTAGCCTCAAGTGTTGACCCACCAGCCAAGCTCTCCCCTTCTGCCTACAGCAGCCCAGTGATGGCAAGTCTGTGCACAGCACCCAGCAGTCTACAAAGGGTTCTCCCATTATCTGCTCGGTGCTGCCCTGTGAGGCATTTAATGTGGGGAAAGGGAACAGAGAGGGAAAGTAATCTGCGCAATGTCACATAGCTCCTAAGCAAAAGAGGCTCTTGGGTCCAGATTGGCAGGCTCCGCAGCCAGCGCTTTGGCTCTCCATGGCCTTGCTTTTACCTTCCTCCTGAGGGAAGACAAATCCTAACCTCCCGGGGGACACGGAGTTCTCGGTCATGAACACTGCTTCTCCACAGGTAACACACACGTTCCCACAGTTCACCTCCATCTTGCCTCTGACCTTGACTGGAGCAGGGATTTTCACCACCCCTTCAGGGCAGATTCCTAAGGCTGTGAGGTTGCTATTACTGGGTGCCCCCTCTGTACCTTCCCACTCACCCACCACAGCGCTGTGGTCAAATGCTGGCAGAAGACCTAGAAGAACACCCCCCAGCGGCAGGACAGATAACGGCTTCCATCTCCTGAAGGAGTTGCAAGGATCCAAATACGGCCCGAGTTTCGGTGCCTTCACCAAGCACTCGTCTTCCGGCCTGCCCCGCTGGCCTGAAGGGAGTGGAAGCTTGGTGACCGTCATCCCCAGTACAAGGGGCTGAGTTCCGACGTCACCAGCAGTTCAAGACATTCAGCATTACCCAGGCTCCAGAGATGCTTCAGGCTCAGAGGTGGTCTCAGAGGCTCAGCGAAGGAAAAGGACTTGCGGCTGCTGCCCGTCAAGCCTGGCAGAGCAGGACTGAAAGCCGTTGCACCTCTTTAGGGTGCTGCTGTGGATTTCCCAGGTTTGTGGCCAAAGCTGTTTCCTTGGCAACCGGTCTTTCTGCTCAGGCCATCTCGGTTCATCCTCCAGGGCCCCCTCCCCCCCCACCTCTCCCACCCGAGGATCCCACGGGCTGAGCTGCCTCATGATTACCACTTAGGCCATGGCCTGGGTCTGGTCTCCAAAGACACTGTCCTGACCTTTTGCCTGTTTTGCATTTCCCCAAATGTCCTTTGAGGCAAGAGATTACCTGAAGTGATTCACGTCCCGTCCCGTCCCCTCCCCCGCGCCTTTTTTTTTCTTGTGAATGAGAAAATGAGTGAGGAATTGGCACTTGTCCAAACAGAAGTGCCAAAGGAGACTGGATCCCAAGGATCAACTTGGGGGTGTGGGAGCAGCCCCCACCAGCAAGCCCAGATGCCCCCAGGGCGCTGCTGCTGCAGGCTGGGACGTCCAGGAGCTGTGTAAGCCTTCTCAGGAGACAATCTTCCACCACACGTTCCTCCTCAGGAAAGGCTCTGCCTGTCTGAGGAGGAACTAGGTTGCTTCCCTGTTGCCTTTGCTCTTTTAAGGGATTCCTGGGCCCTCCCTCCATCTTCCTGAAGTTTCCAGGGAGGCCCAACCTCCAGCTGCCCTTAGGGACAGAGGCCTGCCGAGGAGCCAGCTTACAGGATGGGAGCCGCTGAAAGGAATTTTTGCCTTAATTTTACGAACCTCTCCCTCTTCTTCCTCTAATTGTGACCGTTTCCTCTGTCGGTGTGTATTCATGTTTTCTTGGATATCTAACAATTGAAACGGCTTTTCCCTTTCACAAACACTTACATTCAGGTTACTGGCATTGGTTTGGTTTTTGTTTTGGCTTTTTTTTTTTTCATCTGCTGCCAATTAATGGAAAAAATGAGCTGGGTTTCTTTGAGGAAAAAAAAAAAAAGCTCCCTGCTGCACAATGTCTCGCCCTCAGCATTTTGTCTCCACACAGCCTCCAGCCACTAACAGGCCCCGTTGCTCAGAGCCACTGGACTGTTTTGTTGTGGGGTTTTTTTTCTTCCTTTCTTTCCCTTCTTTGCTGGCCTCATTATTGACCATAATGCCCCAACCACTTCAGCAGCTCTGTCCTTGAGCCTTGAAGAGTCAAGGACCTTTTTGGTAAACCCCCTCTCCCCAACAAGATGGTGGCCACAGAAAGAAAGGAGGCTTTGTGGGGAGAGAGGGCCCACCTGCCTGCAGGAGAAAGGTTCAGGGAGCAGCCTTTCTATGGAGAGTGGTGAAAGGGTCTGGGTCCTCAGGAAGGCTGGGCCAATTCAAGCAGAGGGCTTCCAGAGCGGCTTGGGGCTGGCGCCCCTCTGTGGCCAGTGAATGAGCAGAGAGAGATCCTGACCTAGCTTTCAGCAAGGACCTCATGTCAACAGGGAGACCCCGTGGCAGGCATTCTGCTTCTACTACAGTCACCGGACCTAGAGGTTCCCCTTTTAAGATTTAAAAAAAAATTCTTTTTAATGTTTGTTTATTCTTGAAATAAAGCAGGGGAGGGGCAAAGAGAGAGAGAGAGAGAAAGAATACCAGGCAGGCTCCATGCTGTCAGCACAGAGCCCAACGTGGGGCTTGAACTCAGGAACTGCAAGATCATGACCTGAGCAGAAATCAAGAGTTGGCCACTTAACTGACTGAGCCACCTAGGTCGCCCCCTGCCTTTTAAGATTTTAACCCCAAGCTCTGGCCGGCTCTCCAGGACACTATCTCAAAAGTGGTTGATGTCACTTGACCAAGGGCCTAGCAGGGACAGACGGTCTCTTACCATTTGCTCTCACAGACTTGAGGGACGGTGTGTGCAGAAAGCCGGCAGACGGGGCAGGCTGGCATTTGGAGTTGGTCCATGGGTGCCTACGAAGCATCCTGGCTGGATCAGGCGGCCAGCCAGCCAGCTGCCACGTCTGTCTCTTCACCCTTCGAGAATCACTTACCAGCAAAGACCACATGGGCCAAGTTGTCCAGAGGGAGCCAGCAGAGTCCAGAACCTTAGCTGTAGGAGCACCTTCCAGAACCCCACAGAGACCCATTCAACTGCCCCCTGGGCACAGGTGGCAGCCCCCAGCCTATCCTTCCCCTTGCTTCAGAGCTGTGTGTCACTGCCAAGAGCCCATGCCAGCCACCTACTGCTAGAAAAGTGTCCTGTAAAGCTTTGATTCTGTGATAAGCTGTTTGATAATGCATATTTAATGTGCAGCTTTTAACATGCAGTCGTCTTGTTTAAATGTACCTCATTGAGCACACACGTGGTATTTCTTTAAAATGTAACCGTGAAATCTAGTTTATTGCCTTTTGTTTACAGAGGCTGAGGTTCTGCCATCATCCCTCAACGGTGGATTGTTCCAGGAGAAACGGAACCTCCTGCTTCCTAATTAAGAGGAAGATAGAGCTCTAATGAGTTCGTTAAATGAAAACAAATTAATTTGTTCAGCAAACATTTGTTGGGTGCCTCCTGGTCCTCGGACCTGGTGGATACACAGGAGAATGAGACCCGCGTCCTGCCCTCAGGAAGTTTCCAGTGTGGGAGGAAACAAACAGGTAGCTACACATGGTGGAATGGGGGGGGGGGGGGGGGGGGGGGGGGGGGGCCCAGATGAGGGAGTTGAATCTGTCTGCTGTGCTCAGGAAAAGGGCCTTGAAGGATGAGGGCTGGGTGGTCCAGGCAGAGTAACAGGTGCTGGGTTCATCAGGGGGAGTGGCACAGGTGTGGCATGGTGGAAATGGCAAGGCTGCTGGGTCTCTAAGGGCTTCATCCCATGGAGGCAAAAGAACAGGATCACCATCACTTGCCCTCACTCTGTCATCGTGATGACGTCATCCTGCAGCCTGAGGTAGGAAGGGAGGGTCTGCAGCCCAAGCCCACCCTCACGCACAGATCAGCACCCCAGTTTGCACTGGGTCCCCTCAGCACTCCAGGAAGCCTGCTGTGGAGTGACCCCTGACCCCCACCTCACCATGGAGGAACTCCCTGCCTCTCCTCCTCTCTCCCAAGAGCACAGCCTTCTGCTCCCCCCGCTCCTCAGAGCACACCCCATGACCACATCACACACACATACCCAGGACTGGGGCAAGGGCAATGCCAAGTGCTTTGCAACTAGCAATTTCCTGTGGGGCAAGGAGAAAATGTCACTGGTGGTCGTCTCTAATCTGTTTTCTGTTCTAGGCAGGGTTTTATTTCTGTTTCAGTTCAACTTAACAAACATTGAGCATACAAAAGGGTCTATGTATGACAAGCTGGTGACCTGAAGCAGGAAGCTGGGCACAGGAAACATCTTCAACCATAGTCTACAGGAAGCAGTCAGTGAACAGCCAGATGCCTGCCCCACTGCATTCCCTGCACAGAAACCCAACAGTGCAGGCTGGAAACAGAGGCCCAGAGAGGGGCAGGGACTTGCTCAGAGTTACACAGCAATTCCATCTCAACATGCCTCAGGTGCTTGAGGGGGACCAGTTCAGAGAGTCACCTTGGCCAGTGTGGCTCTGGGAAGACTAGGGTGGGGGTGAGGATTCTTCTTGGACAGAGTTTCTAATCCAACTCTTCCTAGCTGGCTTCCTCCTGAGTGGGAGCATCCCAGACCCGCAGTGATTGGTGTCCTCTCTAACTCTTGGAGACAATTTTGAAGGGGCCTTGGACTGACTGGGTGGCAGGCTATCACCAGTGTGGTTCTGGCGCCCTCATGTGGTTCCCTTCAGCATTGCAGCCAGGCCCAGGGGGAGAGTAAGACTGCTCCAAGTCAGCGGGCTTATAGAAACAGAAAACAGGAACTTAACGAAGGACCATGCGGAGAAGAGGGGGGAAAATAGTGGGGGAGAGGGAGGGAGGCAAACCATGAGAGACTCTTGAATGCCAAGAACAAA